TGGACGCCTTTCCTGTCTGTGGGTTCAGGCCAATCCAGTATTGCAGCGACCTTCTGGGGATCCATCGCGACCCCCGCGGTGGAGATAATCAGGCCCAAGAAGGCAATGCTGGATTGTTCAAAACAACATTTTTCTGCCTTGGCGTACAACCCATGCTGCCGCAACCGCCCCAATACTTTTGCTACATGTATTCTGTGTTCCCCCAAAGACGGGGAGAAAATCAGAATATCGTCTAAATAAACAATCACAAAGACATCCAGAAAGTCCCTAAAAATATCATTTACAAAGTGTTGAAAAGTGGCCGGAGCATTGCACAACCCGAACGGCATGACCAGATATTCAAAATGACCGAAGCGGGTGCGGAAGGCCGTCTTCCACTCGTCCCCCTCCCTTATGCGAATCAAGTTGTACGCCCCCCCTCAGATCCAGCTTGGTAAAAACCACTGCTGACTTTAGACTTTGGAACAGCTCTGGTACTAACGGTAGTGGGTAACGTTTTTTTTATCGTGACCCTGTTCAATTCCCTGTAATCAATGCACGGCCTTAAGGTTTTATCTTTCTTTTCAACAAAGAAGATTCCCGCCCGCACCGGTGAAGTGGAGTGGCGGATGAACCCCTTCTGGAGGCTGTCCTCGATATATTCCTTTAGAGCCCCCAATTCGGGCTCTGAAAGGGGGAAGATTCGCCCAAAAGGAATTTCTGAGCCGGGTAACAGGTCAATGGGGCAGTCATAAGGGCGGTGGGGGGGTAGAGTATCGGCTCCCCGTTTGCTGAACACATCTAGAAACCCATGGTAGACTGCAGGGATTACTTGTTTTAATTCAGCTTCCCCCTCAGAGCACAGGAGGATTTGGGGGGCCCCGGGCCCGGAGTGCGGCAGTATATCCGACAGTATGGGGAAGGGAACGTGATTACTCCGGTCTCCCAGTCAATCTGGGGGTTATGGGCCCGTAACCATGGGAGCCCCAGAATGACTGGGAAGAGGGGTGAAGCTATAGCATCCAGGCGGAGGAGTTCCTGGTGCTGGCCGGCAATGACAGTGGTGATGGAGGGGGTTTCCTGGTTCACTACCCCCGATTTTATCCGGGAACCGTCGGCCAAATAAATATTGAACCCCTTCTGTTTCAATTGAAGGGGAATACCCTGCTGGTGAGCAAAATTAATATCCAAGAAGCAGCTGCATGCCCCAGAGTCAATTATGGCCGATACTTCCACGGTCCTTTCCGGAAGCTGAAAGGAAAGGGGTACCACTAAGTATTGGGATGGACCAACATTGCCAATGGATAAGGAAGAAGAGGTGCACTTACTCATTTTCTGCGGGCAGGAACGTGCCATGTGACCAGCTTCGCCACAATAGAGGCACAGGTTCTGGGATCGTCTGCGCAGATGTTCCTCTGGGGATAGTTTAGGCCGTGCCAGGCCGAGCTGCATGGGTTCAGGGTTGTCTCCAGGTGGCCGGTTTTGGATGATTGGCCTAGGTGTTTGACTGGGACCTTGAAATGATCCCCAGGGATTTCCATGACCCTGGCCGGACCTCTCAAACCTGCGTTCCCGCAGTCTACGGTCAATTTTAATGGTCAGTGCTATTAAGTCCTCTAAAGTCTCAGGTACCTCCACCCGGGCGAGCTCGTCTTTCAGGCCATCTGATAGGCCAATACGGAACTGATGCAGGAGTGCGAACTCGTTCCAGCGAGTATCCCCCATCCACCGCCTAAATTCAGATGCGTACTCCTCGGGCCGCTCGGCGGCCTTGCCGGAGCGTGTACAGAGTAGCTTCAGCAGAAGCTGCCCGCTGCGGGTCATCATAAAGGATGGCCATAGCATCAAAAAAACTGTCAACCGAACTGAGGTGAGGGTCATTTTTTCCCCGTAATCGATGGGCCCAGTCTTGGGGTTCACCCTGCAGGAGGGAGATGACGAACCCCACCTTCACGGATTCAGTCATGAAGGTTCGGGGTTGTGTAGCTCAAAATAGAGGAGGCAGGACTCGCGGAATGATCTAAAACGTGTGCGGTCCCCGTGGAAACGTTCCGGTAAGGGTACTCGGGGGTCGGCCGCCGGGAGTGGTGCGGATGCCCCAGACACCAGCACAGGGGCTGCTACGGCTGGAGGTGCGGGGACCGTGGCCTGTGGGGCGGGAAACAGATATAGTGCAGGTCTGGAATTGAGTTTCAATCTGCTGGCATCTATCCTGCAGGGCCGATACGGCCTGTGTCAAATTGGACAGGTGCCTGCAGATCTCCTCCAGCGGTGAGGGACCTCCTCTAGACTCAGTCATGGCCTTCTGGTACTGTAAGGGACCGCCCGGCGGTACTACTAGCACTCCACTGAATAGGCGTCCCCAGCGCACGGAGTCTAAGTCCCAGGGTGCTTGTTCACCAGGGCCCCTGATGGTGGGGATGGACTTGGAGCTCCCTGAGACCAGGTCGTGACTACTGGGTGCGCCCGTCAGTGGTAGTAGTATGCGCAAGGGGCTCCCACGGGGAAGAGTCTGATGTGAGGAGGTCAGAAGACCCCGCTGCAAGGGATGGATGGATGGATGAGCAAGGTCAGACGGGCCGGGTCGGTAACAGAGAGGACGGCAAGGTACAAGGCAGCGAGCATAGAATGGTCGGGTCACACGCCAGGTCAGCAACAGCAGGTCAAATCCAATAGGGGGCATTCAGGAGAGAGGTCAGGCAAAGCAAGGGTCAGAGCAGGAGAAAGCAGCAAGGTCAGGTACAATCCGGGTCAAAACTTACAAGGGGCACAGGATCACAGGTTCACAGGATGCAGGGAAGACCAGAAGGCACTGAATGACAGCTCAGGGCCATTTAAATATCCCGCCCTGCGCTGCCATTGGTGCCCAGCGGGCGGCCCGCGGCTTCTACTGCGCATGCGCGAACTCGAACGCCGCGGCCGGCCCGGACCTAGTGCCCGTGTCCCTGCACAGGGCGGTGCACTGCGCCTGCGCCGGGACCATCGCGGCAGGGATCGAGGAGATCCCTGACAGTGCCCTTGTATGGGCTGTTATTGGCACCGGGGGGTGTGCGGAGCTATCACCGGGTGCGATCCCACCGGCCACGCATGCGCATTCTCATTCCTGAGCCTTTAAATGGTCTCTCTGTCTGGTTCAGTAGGAATCACAATCATGGGAAAGACTGCTGACCTGACACCATCATTGACACCCTCCATAAGGAGGGAAAGCCTCAAAAGGTAATTGCAAAAGAAGTTGGATGTTCCCAAAGTGCTGTATCAAAGCACATTAATAGAAAGTTATGTGGAAGGGAAAAGTGTGGAAGAAAAAGGTGCACAAGCAGCAGGGATGACCACAGCCTGGAGAGGATTGTCAGGAAAAGACCATTCAAAAGTGTTGGGGACTTTCACAAGGAGTGGACTGAGGCTGGAGTTAGTGCATCAAGAGCCATTACACACAGACGGATCCTGGACATGGGCTTCAAATGTCGTATTCCTCTTGTCAAGCCGCTCCTGAACAACAAACAACGTCAGACGCGTCTTACCTGGGCTAAAGAAAAACAGACCTGGTCTGCTGCTCAGTGGTCCAAAGTCCTCTTTTCTGATGCGAGCAACTTTTGCATCTCATTTAGAAACCAAGGACCCCGAGTATGGAGGAAGAATGGAGAGGCACAAGGACCACGAGTATGGAGGAAGAATGGAGAGGCCCAAGGACCCCGAGTATGGAGGAAGAATGGAGAGGCCCAAGGACCCCGAGTATGGAGGAAGAATGAAGAGGCACAAGGACCCCGAGTATGGAGGAAGAATGGAGAGGCCCAAGGACCCCGAGTATGGAGGAAGAATGGAGAGGCACAAGGACCCCGAGTATGGAGGAAGAATGGAGAGGCACAAGGACCCCGAGTATGGAGGAAGAATGGAGAGGCCCAAGGACCCCGAGTATGGAGGAAGAAGGGAGAGGCACACACTGCAAGATGCTTGAAGTCCAGTGTGAAGTTTCCACAGTCTGTGTTGATTTGGGGAGCCATGTCATCTGCTGGTGTTGGTCCACTGTGCTTCATTAAGTCCAGGGTCAACGCAGCCGTCTACCAGGAGATTTTGGAGCACTTCATGCTTCCTTCCACAGACGAGCTTTATGGGGATGATGACTTCATTTTCCAGCAGGACTTGGCACCTCCCACACTGCCAAAAGCACCAAAACCTGGTTCAATGACCGTGGGATTACTGTGCTTGATTGGCCAGCAAACTCGCCTGACCTGAACCCCATAGAGAATCTATGGGGCATTGCCAAGAGAAAGATGAGAGACATGAGACCGAACAATGCAGAAGAGCTGAAGGCCGCTATTGAAGCATCCTGGTCTTCCATAACACCTCAGCAGTGCCACAGGCTGATAACTTCCATGCCACGCCGCATTGAGGCAGTAATTGCTGCAAAAGGGGCCCAAACCAAGTACTGAGTACATATGCAGCTTCTACTTTTCAGAGGTCCGATATTGTTCTATGTACAATCCTTGTTTTATAGATTGCATGGAATATTCACATTTTCTGAGATTGTGGATTTGGGGTTTTCATGAGCTGTAAGCCATAATCATCACAATGATGACAAATCACGGCTTGAACTATCTTGCTTTGCATGGAATGAGTCTCATATATTAGTTTCACCTTTTAAGTTGCTGCACTGAAATCAATGAATGAATGCACCATATTCTCATTTTTTGAGTTTCACCTGTATATAGTTTTACATATATTTATAAATTTCGATAAGTGTAGCGCTGTGATATATATATATCAATCTATTTATAACATTAATTACTCAGTGTATCACATACCGTATTGTCCGGCGTATAAGGTGACTGGGTGTATAAGACGACCCCCTAATTTTCCAGTTAAAAACACAGGTTTTGGGCTATACTCGTCGTATAGGTCTACCCCCCTTCTGAGGCAACACCATTTAACCCCTCGACTACCGGGCAGTTATACCCCCTTCCTGTCCGGACACTTTCCCCCCCTTCCAGTCCGGACACTTTCACCCCCTTCCTGTCCAGGCCAATTTTCAGCTTTCAGCGCTGTCACACTTTGAATGACAATTGCGCGGTCATGCAACACTGTACCCATATGAAATAGGTGGCACTGATGAGGAGGCACTGGTAGGTGGCACTGATGGGCATTGACAGGCATCACTGATGGGCACTGAAAGGCAGCACTGATACATGGCATTGATATATGGCACTGATAGGCGGCACTGACTGGCACTGTTAGGTGGCACTGACTGGCACTGATAGGCAGCATGTATGCGCACTGATAGGTGGCACTGATTGGCAGCACTGATAGGTGATACTGATGGGCATTGACAGGCGTCACTGATGGGCACTGAAAGGCAGCACTGATACATGGCACTGACAGGCAGCACTGATAGGCAGCACTGATAGGTGGCACTGATTGGCATTGATAGGTGGCACTGACTGGCACTGATGGGTGACACTGAAAGGCAGCTCAGATGGGCACTGATATGTGGCATTGATGTGGCACTGATGGACACTGACAGCTGGCACTGCTGGGGCTACACTGATCATCAGGGCACACCGATCATCAGTGCCCTGATGATCAGTGTACATGTCCCCTCTGAGGAATGCCGATTACCGGCTCTCCTCTCCTCTCCCAGTGTGACAGCTCGTGAGGAGAGAGAAATGCCGATAACTGGCATTTCCGTTTACATGTGATCAGCTGTGATTGGACACAGCTGATCACATGACCGAGCCGACATCTTCAGCTCTTTCCGTGATCGGCGATCGCTGTGTCCGAGGGACACAGCGCATCGCCGTGCATGCGCGGAGAATGGGAGGACGTCATATGAGCCAACCACGGCGAGCGATGTATTCTATTAATGAATACAGAGCCTGCTCGGATTGGCTGCGTCAGAGAGGCGGGCTGATGATGTCACAACTTCAGCCAATCCGAGCAGGCTCTGTCTTCATTAATAGAATACATCGCTCGCCGTGATTGGCTCAGCGCGGTACACTGTATGTAGCTGAAGTTACCGTACAGTAGTACCGCACATCCAGTTCTATACCCAGCGTATAAGACGACCCCCAATTGTTGGGGTATGTTTTTAAGTAAAAAAAGTCATCTTATACGCTGGAAAAAACGGTATAATCAAATGTTGTGTAGGGGTGGAGCCTCATTGCTGACGTCACGCCGCCGCTATCGAGAAGTGGTGGCCGTCTTGGAACATGATTATTTTTCCTTGATTTGTATTACTCCACGTGGAGGATATTTTTTATGTCTGATACATGATTTGAAAAAAATACTACACTATGGAAAGCACTTTTTGGCTCCTGTGGCTGAGCTGATTCCCCCCCCCCCCAGGATCATGGATGGATGGATGGAGCTACAGCATTAGATCCGGAGCTATCAGTAGAGCACGGCACCCCCAGATGTGTGATATAAACAAATGCACATTAATATTTTCTGTCTGGTGAGTGTACATCCCTCCCAAGGGGTGGATTCCTTTCATGAATTTCTACACATCTGCACTTCATTAATAATTGCACGTTGGCACGTTGGCATTTGGAATAATTATCCTTCCTTAAAGGACATTATTAGGTTTTATTGTCTGTTGAATTATTGTTAGTCATCCTGGACACATACTGATGCACTTAGTTGCACTTTTGACACACATCTCTGCACCTTATTATTATATGGTATTTATGTTACATGCGTTTATAGCGCTGCACTTACACCTTTGAAGTTGATTTTGAGATCGGTGATATCCAGCCATTCTCAGAGCATTAATTAAACAGTTCTAATTGATATGCTTCATCATTTACCGAGTGCTCACCTACATACCATTTGGATATATGTGATGCACGGAGTAATTGATGTTATAAATAGATTGATATATATATATATCACAGCGCTACACTTGTAGAAATTTGATTCGTTTATTGGGACTGTTGCCTATGCCCTTTAGTGCCGGCAGCTATCTGGAATTACCACCCGTATTGATTGTTTTATGCGCTCGCTAGTACATTGATTTTATATATTTGTAAATGCTTTCCAAAAATGTAGACTTGTATTTTTAAAGACATACGGTATATTCGAAATGCATTCATTTTTAAAAATATTTTTCATATAGTTTGTAATAAAAAACTCATTTCAACATACAGTGAATATGTTTTGAAATATATTGAATACGGCCAAAATTGTAGCATTTCAAATATATGTCAATACATTTGGGAACAATATTTTAAACATATATTTTTCTTCCATGTGGGATATTAATCATGTACAGTATATACAGTAGCTCTGCCACATTCCACAGCGCTGTACAGAGAACACTGAGCCAGTCCCATCAGTCTCTGTACCAGAGGAGCTTACACTCTAATGTCCCCTCCCCCACAGTCACATCAGTCTTTGTACCAGAGAAGCTTACACTCTAATGTCCCCTCCCCCGCAGTCACGTCAGTCTTTGTACCAGAGAAGCTTACGCTCTAATGTTCCCTCCCCCACAGTCACATCTGTCTCTGCACCAGAGGAGCTTACGCTCTAATGTCCCCTCCCCCGCAGTCACATCAGTCTCTGTACCAGAGGAGCTTACGCTCTAATGTCCCCTCCCCAGCAGTCACATCTGTCTCTGCACCAGAGGAGCTTACGCTCTAATGTCCCCTCCCCCGCAGTCACATCTGTCTCTGCACCAGAGGAGCTTACGCTCTAATGCCCCCTCCCCCACAGTCACATCAGTCTCTGTACCAGAGGAGCTTACGCTCTAATGTCCCCTCCCCAGCAGTCACATCAGTCTCTGTACAGAGGAGCTTACGCTCTAATGTCCCCTCCCCCACAGTCACATCTGTCTCTGCACCAGAGGAGCTTACGCTCTAATGTCCCCTCCCCCGCAGTCACATCTGTCTCTGCACCAGAGGAGCTTACGCTCTAATGCCCTCTCCCCCGCAGTCACATCAGTCTCTGTACCAGAGGAGCTTACGCTCTAATGCCCCCTCCCCCGCAGTCACATCAGTCTCTGTACCAGAGGAGCTTACGCTCTAATGTCCCCTCCCCCACAGTCACATCAGTCTCTGTACAGAGGAGCTTACGCTCTAATGTCCCCTCCCCCACAGTCCCATCAATCTCTGTACCAGAGGAGCTTACGCTCTAATGTCCCCTCCCCCACAGTCCCATCAATCTCTGTACCAGAGGAGCTTACGCTCTAATGTCCCCTCCCCCACAGTCCCATCAGTCTCTGCACCAGAGGAGCTTACACTGTAATGTCCCCTCCCCCACAGTCCCATCAGTCTCTGTACCAGAGGAGCTTACACTCTAATGTCCCCTCCCCCACAGTCCCATCAGTCTCTGTACAGAGGAGCTTACACTCTAATGTCCCCTCCCCCACAGTCCCATCAGTCTCTGTACCAGGGGAGCTTACACTCTGCACATGTGCCATGTTCCATAGACCCCCCGTGTACTCTGTAATTACTGTGCCACAAGGGAGAGCGTCTTACAGACACAGATTACTATGATTTTCATGAACTCTGCATTAGATACAATTTTCATGTCTGAGCCTACCTTAGGGAAGATCTTCATTAGTAACCAGAACTGCTGAAACAACAAACACATCGGTCAGGAGTATGTAACACACAGTGAAGGAAATGTGTATTTGCTCCCCGGCTGATGCTGAATGTTCGCCCCTCACACACAGAAATGATCGGTCTAACAATGGAATGTTCGCCCCTCACACAGAAATGATCGGTCTAACAATGGAATGTTCGCCCCTCACACAGATATGATCGGTCTAACAATAGAATGTTCGCTGTAACACTGATAGACAGAATACAACAACAAATTCAGCAGAAATGCGTCTAACAAATGATGACGGATCTGCATGTTCATGAGGGAAAGAAGGATTTGATCCCCTTCACAAAACATGACTTAGTTGGTGGCAAATCCCTTGTTGGCAATCACAGAGGTCAGACGTTTCCTGGAGTTGGCCCCCAGGTTCACACACATCTCAGGAGGGTCTTTGGCCCACTCCTCTTGGCAGATCCTCTCCAGGTCATTAAGGTTTGGTAGCTGATGTTTGGCAACTCGAACTTTCAGCTCCCTCCAAAGACTTTCAATCGGATGAAGGTCTGGAGACTGGCTAGGCCACTCCAGGACCTTAATGTGCTTCTTCTGGAGCCGCTCCTTTGTTGCCTTGGCCGTGTGTTTTGGGTCATTGTCATGCTGGAACACCCATCCACCACCCATTTTCAATGCCCTGGCTGAGGGAAGAAGGTTCTCACCCAAGATTTGAGGGTACATTGCCTCATCCATCGTCCCTTTGATGCTGTGCAGTTGTCCTGTCCCCTTAGCAGAAAAACACCCCCAAAGCAGAATGTTTCCACCACCATGTTTCACAGTTGGGATGGTGTTCTTGGGGTCATAGGCAGCATTCCTCCTCCTCCTCCTCCAAACATGGCGAGTTGAGTTGATGCCAAAGAGCTGGATTTTGGTCTCATCTGACCACAACACTTCCCACCAGTCCTCCTCTGCATCCTTCAGATGTTCAGTGGCAGACTTCAGACGGGCCTGGACATGTGCTTTCTTGAGCAGAGGGACCTTGCGGGCACTGCAGGATTTCAGTCCTTGTCGGCGTAGTGTGTTACCAATTGTTTTCTTGGTGACTGTGGTCCCAGCTGCCTGGAGATCATTGACAAGATCCTCACGTGCAGTTCTGAGATGATTCCTCACTGTTCTCATGATCATTGACACTCCACGAGGTGAGATCTTGCATGGTGCACCAGACCTAGGGAGACTGACAGTTGTTTTGTGTTTCTTCCATTTGTGAATGATTGCACCAACTGTTGTCACCTTCTCACCAAGCTGCTTGGCCATAGTTTGGTAGCCCAGTCCAGCCTTGTGTAGGTCTACAATCTTGTCCCTGACATCCTTGGACAGCTCTTTGGTCTTTGCCATGGTGGAGAGTTTGGAATCTGATGGTTTGATGGCTCCTGTGGACAGGTGTCTTTTATACAGGTAACACAATGAGATTAGCAGCACTCCCTTTAAGAGACTGCTTCTAATCTCAGCTTGTTACCTGTATGAGAGACACCTGGGAGCCAGAAATCCTGCTGAATGATAGGGGATCAAATCCTTCTTTCCCTCATGAACATGCAGATCAGTCATCATTTGTTAGACGCATTTCTGCTGAATTTGTTGTTGCTATTCTGTCTCTCAGTGTTACACCGAACATTCGATTGTTAGACCGATCATTTCTTTGTGAGTGGGCAAACATTCCACATCAGCCGGGGAGCAAATACGCATTTTCTTCACTGTAGGGCACAGCATAAAGATCAAAGAGTTTGGTCAGGAGTATGTAACATACAGCACAGCATAAAGAGGACCTCTTGCTTGAGCCAAAAGAACAGTCCCCAATTGTGTAATTTTTTTTAATGAGGCTAGCGAACAAGAAAAAGTAAAATTAAGTATTAAAAGCTACACAAGTTATTAAAAAAAATAAGATTCACAAATACAAGAAATTGCTTCTGATGGTTATAGAAGCTCCTCTCATCTATTGAGGACCTCTTTCATGCTATAAAAAGGTCCTACATTAATCTCATTATTTTACAAGAAGAAAAAGCGAAATTATGTATTTAAAGCTACAGA